TCATTCCACATGGTAGGAAGTTCTATATACACCCAGCAGAAGGCATATTGAAAAAGACTGCTCCCCTAATAATGTTAGATAGGTAAAATACAGCAACAACTGTCAGTGTGAATTCAAATTTTCAGGTGAGTTTACATTAGCCATTCCCAGACCATGCAAGAGTTTCCTGCTAAGAAATATTTGAATGACGGAGCTTTCTGGTAGAATTATTTGCAGGAGTTTATTCTTTTAATGGAGAGATGCATGCCACACATCCTGCCAGTCAGCAAAGAAAAGAGAATGTGTTTTAAGCAACAAATCACATCTAACTAACACAGATCTTCCAAAGATCATTCACAACCAAATGTGAATGCTGACAAGCATTTGCACATTTTGTGATGAGAAAAGAGTATCTTTTGCACAGTATTTTTTTATTTTTGAAGGATTCAGTTCTATCTTCCTTGATGATTCTAAGTTCATTAAGTTGTGACTAAGCTCATTAAACATACTTTTCCTATTTTTCTTTAGATTGCCACAGTTTCAAGAACCATGTTTTCTTCCTTGCCTCCTAAGTCAGGTGTTCTTTTGGCCAACACCACTAGCTCTTCTTTCTTTTTTTCACATTTAATATCTAGAGGCATTAATAAAAATGCTACAGTTTGATGAGCAATTAAATAAAAAAAAAAAAAAAAACAACCCAAAAGTAAAGCAAAGCATGCCTAATAAAAATACATCTTCCTTTAACATTTGTAACACATCAGGTACTATTTGTCATGAAAACAAGAGACTGCCAAGAAAAGGATTCTCACTGAATTCCAATGACTCTATTAGATTTCCACTGTAATGCCAGAAACCAGTCCTTTCAGTAAGTGTTTCCTTGCCATTGAATATAAAGTTCTTTCAAATATCATGGATATGCCTATATCATTTCAGGTGGCAAGAATCTCCATTCCAAAATATACTGTTCTTTGGCTCTGAAGGAGGTGTTTTGAACAGAAACCTCTCGAAAGCAGAAATTTCTAGAGTATTTTTCTGCATTTCCTGGATTGAAGACACTTTACATATTCACTAAATTCTGGAAATAAATGGCTTCACAAATAACTCTTCCCTGTTGCATGTGTAGATTGCCTGCAGATCTAATTCGTACAAGTGATATAATTGTGTAACTATGTTATTATATATACACTCCTATATAAACTAAAAACACATTAAGGATTAACCAGAGACCTTTACAGGAAATACAGAGAAAAAAATCTTGCTGGGGAACCTTTGAATCCCTATTATTATAAAATAGGTAACAGCTGTTAGCAAGCATTGCAAGTGGAGTAGACCTAAGATGATTTCAGAGTTTCACACAATGAAAGAATTCACTTTACTGCTACTTAGACATATTAAATAAGGCAATTTTTGCCACAGCCAGCGAATTTAATGACTCCTAGAGAAACTAGGTTTGATAAGTTCTGCAGAGTCTGAGAATAAAGCAATTCATCACCAACAGGAAGAAGTAGGGTAACATTGTCCTGATTTGAAATCAGTGGAAAAGGCAGGCAGAAAAGTCCTGCTTACTCCATAGCAAAGAAGCAATGTCATCGGAAGTGAGGCAAGCATTTTTTTTGTTCCCAGATTTGCCTAACCTCACCACTGAGGGAACAAACCCAGATGACAGTTTAACCTCCTCAAGGCTTGTTCAGTACTTGATTCTGCTACTCTTACAGTAAGACAGCCAAAATGATGATTACTATTGCTTTCAAAATAAGCCTCCTGTTTTTAATACAGGCACATTGATCATAAACTGCCTTCAGGGGGGTTGTAACAATTTACAGCTTCCAAAATTTTGCCCCAAGTGCTTTTGAACTCTGTGCTTCAGTAGCCTTGTATCCCATTAGCCACAATATAACACAACTGCTTGCATAACTTGAAGATGGTAACTGGAGGTTTCTCAAAACTAAAAATACCCCTTGATTCTGTAAGGAATGTGTATTTGTCTTACCACCATTGCATCTAAATTTGCCCTCTAATTGCTTTACTTTTCTCCTTTCTAAGAGGAACTTCCCTCAGAGGTGCACCTGCAAAGGTATCAGGAGTCTTCACCATTAATAACCATTTTCTTCCACTCATTTCTCCATTTTCCTGAGTTTTGTTTCTGTCACTTGATACCTTCTGATCTGCTTAAAATCAGAGCTCAGTAGGTTAGGTTCTCCTGGGTGAGCAGTACTTCTTTGCAAGCTTGCACAAGACAATTTTTTTTAGAGTTTTTTGGCGTTGGTTTGTTTTTTGTTGTTGGGGTTTTTGTTTTTTTTTTAATATAAGGCTCATTACAGACAACATGCTGCTCATTAGCCACTCTAACACACAAAGTAACAGTAGAAGTCATCAGCCTCAGGCCCTTACCAGCTTGAAATAAAATTGGCAGGGAAGCAAGCTGAAAAGGAGCTCTGTTAACACTGAACAATACCCATAGTCCCTCCTTCTTAGTGGGAAACTACTTATGAACTTCATTCAAAAGAAACAGCTCTCAATTAAAAAGAATTAATGATAAATAATAAAAGGTGTCATTCTGGAAAGAAGAAAAGTGGCCAAGGGAAACAAAGTAGTGTGCAGAAAATAGAAGTGGTAAGCTACTAGAGGAAAAAAATACACATCTTTTCTTACCAGGGTTCTAGCCTCTCCAATTGATAAGAATTAGAAATGCCTTTCTGTATAACCTATTATGCTAGACTGTCTTCATGTTCAAAGTATTTGTTAACTGGACAAAGGAAATTTCAGACTAAATATAATGTATACTACTCCAACAGTGAGACCTGCTTGATTGTGGTAACAGTACTCCAATAGAAGAAAGAACCCAAATTGTATGAACTGTTTAAAATTAGACCAAACAAAAACCAGAGAAATTTACTGTATGCAACCGCAGGAAGACAGAATGGAAAATGGTGGTGCAAGATCTTTTACCTGAACAATTAATGTATATCAGAACATTTTCTTTCTAAAATACCATAACTATTTATAATGTTTATACATCTTAGATGAGGTGCTGCCATTGGTCAACTAGTGTATAAGGCTAATTATGAAGACAGCTGTTAATTTGTGACTGAGTAACAATGAATAACATATGATTTTAGATTTAAATTAAAATTTTCTCTTAGGAATGCTACTTATTACTATTGCTGCCTAATCATAATCTTTCTTAGACCCATGGACAGCTCAAACGGTTGTAATTTAACCGAGACACAGAGACAAATTCCAGAGACACAGAGACAAGTTCCTATATAGAATTAAACAGTCAGACCCAAATAATAAGAACATTATTTCATTCCAGATGAAACAATGACACTGTAAGTTGGTTAAGAGAAGACTCTTGTCATACAAAGTTCTTATAAAAATCTGCAGCCTTTAAGGCTCTGGGTACTATTAACTCCTCCTAACTTCAGTGAAGCTCACAATACTAAATGCCTCCTTGAACCAAACCTCCAAGCATGTTCTCTGCAGGTCATAGATGCTGTTATTGTCTAAAGAGCAGAATATGATAGGAAAAAGTAATCCTATAAGACTATACTGAAAGCTAAATTCCTCAGAGAATCATCATCCAAATGATGCTCACTAATGAGCTCCATTTTAGGAATCCTCTGGGGTCTAGTAGAAAAGGGATCTTTTTCTCAATCAGAAGCCAGCATATGTTGCCTGTACATTATTCAGTATTAAAGCACAGGCCACATCTGTCAACACACAGACATATATCAAAATGAATATAGTCATTGTGCACATTCAAGACCCTTTTTTTCACAAACTGATGCAGGGTTTTTTTGTCAATCTTTTAGCATGCTGCAGTCATGATTATATATCTTTAGCAACAACAACTCTTTTGTAGTAGTAGTACTAATTTCTGTACTAAACAAAAAAACGTAGAAGCTGAAAAAATAGAAGGACAAACAAGTGAACAGAGGAACTGAAATAAACAAAGCATATGGTTATGAGTCACTGTAAATTCTTAGTTAATCTATATTGACAAAGATGATGGTGACTAAATAGCATGTGTGCATGAAACTCATGGCAGTAGACCTGCATAGCAACCCATAATAAATAATCTAACTTTTCAACTTCTACAAAAATTAAGCCATTTACTAGAACTGCAAGGCAATGGAAGTACACTAAGGGTTTGCACACAGAACTGACCATCTCACACAAATAGACTCTGCTCTGTGGCACCCAAGTAGCTGCACACCCTGGAAGATTATTAACAACCTTCAATATAGAAGCTACAAAACTGACTTAGTGGACAGCTGTAATTTGCTCTACTCAGGAAAGAAATTCAGAGTTTAATTTTCACCCTGAAGAATGACTGAACATGGCCAGCACAAATGTAGTCCCCTGTTATAAGAAAAGGTACTTCTAAAATAGCTCTGGCAATTAACATAACAAGGAATGAACTCAAGATGTCAATTAGAATTTGATGGTTCCCAGGAGATCCTGTCTTTCTTTTAAAAAGTTTAATTTTGTTAACCAGTTAACGTATGTTGTAAAACCTCCTTCAGATCTAGAGGTTTTGTTTGCATTCTAGCAGCATGACTTTGATCTATGCCCTGGATTGTGCCTTTGTTCAAAACCAACACTAGTGTCAATTACTGAGTTCCAGCAGGGATGCCCATAGCCTCTAGAGCATTGCCATTAGCTCAGGGCTTATAAGAATTAAACATACATAAGGGGGAGCAGTATTAAAAAAATAGTAGCCTGATGCTCTCTCTGCTTTGACATTTTGGATATCACTACATGTTGTATGGGGTTTTTTAGGATTAAACTTACATTTTTATTTCCCACTTTCATATGTCCCAACTGTTGTTGCTCACTATAATCTATAACTGACAAAAAACACATTGAATGTAGACAAAACATCGATCGATAGCTCTGACAATCAAAAGATTGATCTCCTTGCAAGCATAATCTGATGCTATTAATACCACTTCACAACATCATGGCACATCACACAAGAAATGGAACTGAAAAAGGTGTCAAGGCAAATCTGTTACCTGGCTGATGCGTTTTTGCTTTTCCACCAGTGACTGCCAAAATACTAGATCCAGAAGATGAGGCTTCCATTTTTATTGACCCTCTGACTTGTGGGACTGAAGGATGCCCAACCACAGGCGGACACCGTGACACTGGGTAGCTTGCTGCAGTTCTCCTCTGATAGATTTGCACACGCTTGTCAGCCCCATGAATAGATAAACTTATACCTGACAGGAATAAGAATTAGTACTGTTAGATACAAGAGATCAGCAAGGAATAACTAAAATATAAAAATTTCCATGATTTAAAATGGAGCTGTAACAGCCTTCTTGAAGGAAAAAAGCAAACCAAACCAAACTATAAAACCAGGAATTTTCTATAAAAATTAAGAATGTGAACATCTTTGCTGCTGTGCTGCAGACATCAGTCAGCCACACTAATAGATATTTAAATTAATACATAGTCATGGTTTACTGCATTACAGGCCTGCAGGAGGAATTATCTTCCATTCGTTAAAAAACCCCACACAGCTTACTCAGGATGATATTAATGAGGTAACTACCACAGAGTTTATTAAATGACAGTGTTCTGACTGATGGACCAGAACTTGTCAATAATAGTTTCTTTTCTTCTGAGCATTCACAGCTATTAGGAAGTTTCATCATATGGAAAAGATGCTACGCTTCATGTGGTAACTAGTTTTTAGGGAAAAAATTAAGGTCTGTTTTGTGAAAAACAGTAGGGCTACAAGCAACAAGAACATGACCTTAAGCTTGAAAAACAATTCCACTTTCATCAGTCCTATGAAACATTATCTACAACACTGGAAACTGTCTTTCACACCAAACATTCTCAATTTTGTCACATAGCCAATTTTTAAATAGAAATTATGATGAAAAAACAGGCTTTACTTTTCCAAAGAGAAACGCAAAGTTGACATTTCCTATATGTCTATTTATTGTACAGTCTTAAAAAGAAACACCATCTTACAGTAAAAAATGCTGTTTCTGACTTCCTTACATTCACATTGATGCAATTGCTGCAACTTTATTTAAATTACTTTCAACATACTCTGGTGAAAATGTTTAGACAACCTCTGTTGGGTAACAAAGCTGAATGATAATTCTATGTTAATATTTTATGCTTAGTTTAATTGTGACTCTTACTGTTTTTATCATCAACCACTCTTTGTTTTAAAAAACAAAATGAAAAACCTTAACTAGATATAAATGGGAAAACTGAGAAAAAAGCAGACCCTAAAAACTGGAAAATGGATGTAAGCACATTGTAAGTTGCAGTCACTCAAAATCATTTGACATCATTGATTAGATTGCTCATTTCTGAGAAAGGGGTCACTCACTGTAATGTCCAAGAATGCCTTAATGACTCTGCTCTTCAAGTTACACTGAAAGCCAATGAACCTCTAGGTCACCAAAAAGGTTTTCAATCTCTGAAATATTAATACACTTCTA